TTTGATAAATGGTGAAATGTAGCCTCATTCTTTCATTTTTTATTTTTATTTTTTGAAAATTAGTGTAGAAGAAATTTGGACCTGTACACTCCTTTTTGGAGGAAGTGTGACTACTAATCTATGCCTTAGCACCATTAATTTTTATAATTTCTAATATCAGAAAATACATCGCAACAGAGAAACAGGATGACAGGATTAACCTGACAAATCAAAATCCATTCTGAGACAGTGAGACTGGTTCTCTTAATGTTTAAAAGAATGCTATTCAGTAGCTGTTTGGTAAAGCTACAGCTTACTAGCTCTTTTCCTATTTGATTTTTGTAAAACTTGTTGAATAACAAGTTACTATTTAGCAAATAAAGTGCTAATTAGCAAGTTTAGCAAAAGCGACAATCAGTATAGCCTTTTCTAAACTTGCTAATTAGCACTTTAATTGTTGAGTAGTATTTTGTTACTCGACAAGTTTTAATGGAACAAAAAAAGAGCTACTAAGCTAAATATAAGATAGCTTTGCCAATTTAGCTGTACAAACAGCAATTTCGAGACACAATCAGGGACAATATCATGTTTCCAGATCAGTCAATTCCATAAGAGCAGTCCAAGCATACAGATTTAGAACTCACCTGGTAAGTCCTTCTCCAGAATTTTCCACTCCTCAGTAATTCTCTTTGCCCACTCCTTTGTTTGCTATTAAACAAGAAAGCAAAATCATGTTATATTCATCCTGATACATTTCACAAACACACCTACTAGAGTAAGGAAAGAAAGAAGCAAACTAAGATGTATTTCACCTTCTCCCCTGACGAAGCCAAGCTGTTATAGTGATGGTCCGAGAAATTATCAACAATATCAAATTGTTTAAAATTTTTAAATTTAAGCATAACTTCATCAACATCCTTCTCAGCAGACTTTGACTCTGTAGGCATTGATGAGCTACTGGTGGGGGCTGTCTCCAGTTTGCCATCAGCTAGAGCAACTAAGTTTTCCTTCTTGTTTTCAGCACTTTCAGGAATAGAAGTGCCTGGAACAGATGAAAGGTTTCCAGTTGGAGCTGGGTCTTTCAACCAAGGAATTGAAGCTTCCACCCCAGGAGGAAGATCCACATTATCAAAATGAGATTGCATAATCTCATAATCATCTTCATACAGAAAATCATCATTATCGCCATAATCAGAAACATCATCAGCATAGTCATCACAACCCTCGTCAAGGCCTTCCTCATCATGATATGACAAATCAGAGTTTGAACTATTGACATTATTGGAGTTAACTGATCCTGACATGGAACTCTTAATAGGATCAATAATATCCATAGATCCTGCAATAAAATCTGAATTCTTCAGATCACAGGCTGGAGCATCCTGGATAATGAACAATTAAAATCATAAACCAGCAGTTAATGAATGAACAAGAACTATAGTATGGTAAAATACAATTGCTTCTAAAATTCTGACCGCATACCTTAACATGATCTTCCCAATCCTCATTATAACTTATTTTAGCTTTTCCCTTGACATCCATGTCAGCTTTCACAGAATCAATCAAATCTTCAGTTGAATCTTGCTTGATATCCATTGCATCACAGATGATAACCTAAACAGCAAAAAGTGCTTTGCATGAACAACTTTTGCATCAAAATCATACAATCCAAACATTTAAGAAAGCTTAAATAAAAGGCCCCATATGATCTCTACAATATATTGACTTAAGAATCAGATCTAAATTGGGTTTGTGAATATGTTCTCTGCTCTTATGCATGCTAGTTTAAAACAGATTCTCTGTGTGTATGGGTATGGGAAAAGAGAGTCAATATAAGTAACTGTTACAGTTATGGAAGTGCCTGCTTTCTTCCAATGAGCTTCCAAAGGAATCTGTAAAAGCAAAACCATGTCTCTCTGTTTGGAAAATGTCCAATGTGGGAATCAACTAAATAGTATTTGATAATATCCACTATTCCCAAATCCCAATATATCCCTATGGGGCAATCAAAAAGCATTTGCCGGTGTGGAAAATTTTCAAAACCATGTCTGATCCTTTCAAATCACTACAAAAGGAAGCTTCAAGACATCAATGGATATTGGAAACATGGTTCAAAGAAATTAGTGACTTGCCTTCCAATATACTAACACACACACAAAAAAAAAAAAAAGGGAAGTGAATTTACATTAGAATGCTACTAACTTAGCAAAAAAATAGTACTTGAGAGGGAAGCCATCTCTTTCCAGACACCCAATCCCATAGAGACTGAATAGAAATAAACAAGTAAGAAGAAAACACATCCTTCTGCTAAGTATCCACGTGATAGAAACAAACAACAAACCATAAACAACAATAGTGCTTTCTAATCACTCTACAGTAGGTCAAGAGCACATTAAAACTCAGAGGTAGTTGGCTTCTCCCTTCCAACAGACAAGGAAAACATTAACTTCACTGAAATTATTCTGACAGTTAACATGAAAGTTATAAAAATATAAGATGCCCAACTTAATAGATAAAGGCATCAAACTCCATGATTCAAAAATACTGAATTGATATGTGGTGAATAAGGCATGAGGGACCTAGATGATGATCTGGCTTCCAAGTAGGGTTAATTATGTGTTGTTGTTTTATGATATGTGGTTGCCGTTTCTAATAGGGTTAGGTTATTTAGTAGCTCTGTCTTTCTTTTTTTGGAATAGTTCAGAATATTGTCTTCTTCAACCCCTAGCTTTCTCTCCCTGTAATTCTCTCTGGAATTATTCTGTAATCCTTGGATCTTCAGACAGTTATTTGAGAAATATATCAGAGATCTTTCTTCATTATCTATTAGATTTCCCTCGTATTTTCTCCTAAAGAATTTATCGAGAGCTTTAGCTTTCCTTATTTTCTCTCTATCCCATTTTACTGCATACCATGAATTGTCACTAACTCACTATTTCCCTACCCCTTATGTTTCCATACTTGCAACAAAACAACTAAATATTAATCAAAGAGACCAAAGATTGTAGCTTTGCCTGCACAATCCAATATATTCAGCAACAAACAAAGTAGAAGAAAAGAATCAAACAATTCATCATACAATCAGCCTTCCCTATGAAGCAACCATCCAAAACTTTCTCGACAGAAAATTTTTCTCGGCAACCAAACAGAACCCCAAGAAACTGACTACAGTCAGGATTACCGAAAAAGGAAACGCTAAAAAACGAAAATAATTGCATGCGATCTTCTATACCAAACAAACACCACAAAACCGCATCATTAGGACAAGAATCGGCGGAAAAAATCAAGATCATTGACCGTGATGATCCGAAATCGAAAGAAATTAGACGTTTGTGATACTAAACAGAGACTAAAAATTAACATCGGAGAAGGCAAACAACACGGATCAAGAAAGGGAAATTGAAGAAGAGAAAGAAAAGAGAGAAATACCTCGTCGCCGGTTTTGAATCGCTTGGGGTTGTAAGAGTCGTCCATGGGAGAGTGATCGGAGTGGGGGATATAAAGAGGAAGAAACACACAAGTCCTAGAGAGAAGAAAAGTTAGAGAGAAGGTGGGTCAGGTCTACTGCAAATAGGAATTTTTTTTCAATTATTTTTTTCTATTTTTTACTCTCTTCTTTTTTTTTTTTTTGGGATGATATGCTTTTTATTTTATTATTTCCAATTATTGGGTGCAGGTATTAACCCAAAAAAGAATTATTTGGTGTAGGATGGAAAAAGTAAGAATTTTTTCAATGGGTCAATTATCTTATTTACAATAAACAATAATATGCTTCTTTCGTCTATTTTTTTTTTTTTAATATGACAATTACTACAAATTACTACTACTAAGTTAGGGATTGAAAACAGACATATTGATTTATTATTTATTTATTAAGAATTAACTTTTTTTTTAAAATAATTTTAATTTTTTTATTTTGAGCTTATTTTAAATTAAATGTTATTTTTTATTTTTTGAGATAAATAAATATTTTTTTCTTATTTTAATCTTATTATTACCTATTTATTTTGATTAATTATTCCATCACAAAGGTAATAGAGGTATATTGATGGATTATTCTCAAATTCTTAATTTAAAAATTTTTTAAATAATAATTATTTTGAAATGAAAAGAATACCTAAATTGTTTATTAGTTGAAATAATCTTATCTCTTCTTGCAAAACAAACAGCCTTAAGGATAATTTAGCCTTTCTAACCTCAAACTAGTTTTTTTTTTTTTTTTTTTTGATAATCACAAAATTTTTGTTAAAATACAAAATGATAAGAAATTAATATTTATCAATTAAATTTATAAAAAATTAAATAAAAACATTTTAAAATTATATCATTTTAATAAATTATCTTAAAAATATATTAAAATAGCATTATTTTTACTTTAAAAAGTAAGAGTGGGTTATAGTTTTTTTCAATAGAAATTTATTAAAATGATATATTTTTAAATATTTTTTAACTTAATTTTTTACATGTTCAGTTGATAAAAAAAATTTTTAAAAAAATAAAAAATGATTAAGTGTAATTTGATTGAACAAAATTTTTTTTATCCTTCTCTTTCCTCCTCCATTTTTTTAAACTAAACATAAATAAAAAATAAAAAAATAATTTTATTAATTTAGGATCAATTCTAAATGAAATGCATTTATTTTGTAATGAAGGGAGTATTGAAAACACAAAAATTAATATTTAATTAATCAATCCATTCAATTAAATTATCAAAATAATATTAATATTAATATCGATATCAATTATTATATATTTTATACGAATTAAAAAATAAAAAAATATTTTTTTTTTTACTTTTTATCTTAAAATAATTGTCATTTTTTAATTTCTTAAATTAAAAACTTAAAAATAATATTTATATTTATTTACAATATCTTTAAAAAATTTAAAAAAATTATAATTAAATAATTAATTAAAATAAATAATAAAATAAAAATAAAAATATTTATTTATTTTAAAAAATAAATAATAATAATAATAATTAATTTAAAATAATTTTAAAATTAAAAAATATCAATTATTTTGAACGGACAGACTACATGGTTTAGATATGTACCTTAAATTAATCTATAGTTAAGAAAAGCTTTTGTTTTATCTCGGAGAGAAAGTGGCTCGCCCCTTGTTAGGTAAGTCTTTCACGATACGCACCAAATAATTGACAGGCTGTTCTGCGAAACTTTGAAGCTTCATTAGATTATGTGACGTTAAGAAATCAAAAAATTATTTTACTAAACTTTGCCTTTAAGTGCAATTAATACATTTTATAGTCATTAAATCAGCTCATATTACTCTTTACATATCTTTTTTACTCAACATTTTATTTAAAAATATAAATTTATTATTCTTAATTAATTTTAATTAATTTTTTTATATATTTTTACTAATTTTAATTAAAATTTTGTAGATTTTTAAGATATTAGAAAACCAAAAAAATATAAAAAGAGCACCG